TTGTGTAGCTTTGCACGAAATTCAAAATAAACAAACAAAGATAGGTTGGATCTCTTTAACAACGTGTTTGGAGCTTAAACGTGTAACCTTCATCTAGATTATATAAATTTTCTTGGTTTTCTTGCATTCAAGACATAAATGTTCGATCGTGTAGAGGTGGTCAATGGTGTGAACGCTTCCCAAATGGTCAATACCTCGATCTACATTTATATGATTTGTTTATAACAGAACTGTATGTTATTTCTTATAGTTCAGATCCTGTATCGAAGTATTTATCTAACTGATGCAATCTAGTAAAAAATAATTCACCATCATAAGACGTGGCCTAGTGGTTAGGATGCAGGACTGTGGATAGGTTCAAGGTTCGAAACACGATATGACACAAAACACGCTTCGCACTTTCAGCTGTAGGAGTGTTATAACTCTGTCAGATAATCTCACTGTTCAGTTAAGAGTAGCTGACTATCTGGCGGCGGGTGCTTCTGATTGGTTGCACTTCTTCTGTTGAACAGTTCTGAATTATGTATAATTATGTCTGAACGTTAAAGTTCCTGACAAGGCCTTTTGGCCCATTGTTGCCTAATAATAATAATAATAATAATAAAAATATCATCAACAAAAAATACTATATTTTATTATAGAGTATTTACGTCACTTTCCCAGTAGTGAGCTCGACTCGCAATATGGAGATCGAGGGTTTGAGTACCGTCAACGTAAAAGACTCGTCCCTTCAGCCATGGGGGCGTTATAATCAATCCCACTTTTCGTTTGTGAAGAATAGCCCAGGAGTTGGCGGTGATAGAGTGGGTGGTGTTGACTAGCAGACTTCTCTCAATCTTATCATTTCTAAATAAGGGACTGCTAGCGCAGATAGTCCTCAAATAGCTTTGTGCAAAACTCAACGGACAAAGCTTCCTAGTAGTCCAGCCAAATTTAAGATAATAATGTTACATAAAATATCGACTGCTTATAATCAGATATTTCTGACAAGCTTTAAACTTTTTAAGTGACTAAACTTAGTCTAAACTTTTTAACTGATTATCATTTAAAAAAAAAAGATCATATTAACAAAATTATCAAACTTCAGAAATTAACAAAATTGTAGCTTTTATATGTCAAACGTGTTTTGATAATCACTAATGTTCGTGATAATAAAATTACAAATAGAATGAAAGAAATTATGTAGATCACATATACAAAAAACACACTATGAAATTCCTGTGCTTTCGACAGATGTCTTGATGAAATGATAGCGGTTTCAAGAAGTGGACCTGTCTTCTTCGGGATGAAAATAAACAGACAGGACAACCTTCAGCATATAAGAACCTGCTTCAGCAATGTGGGTCATTATATTTGACCTGCTCCTATTCTACATCCCATGAGGACTTTCCAGAAGTTGGACGGGCGTGTATGAGAAAGACCAGTTATCCAAGAAAGTTTGTTTATTTGTAGTTAAGCACAAAGCTACACAAAGGGCTATCTGTGCTCTGCCCACCACGGATATCGAAACCCGGTTTCTAGCGTTGTAAGTCCGCAGACATACCGCTGTGCCACTGGGGGGGGGGGGGTCCAAGAAAGTCTTAATGCATTTTTGTTTTGGCCTGAGGGTCACGGGTTCGAATCCACTTCCCACCAAACATGCTCGCCCTTTCAGCCGTGAGGGCGTTATAATTTGACGGTGAATCCCACTATTCGTTGTTAAAAGAGTAGCCCAAAAGTTGGCGGTGGGTAGTAATGACTAGCTGCTTTTCCTCTAGTCTTTCACTGCTAAATCAGGGACGGCTAGTGCAGATAGCCCTCGTGTAGTTTTGCGCGAAATTAAAAAACAAACAAGAATTTTTGTTGTAGTATTCTTATTAATTTTTGTGTTATAAATTTGTAAGCTTTAGTTTTCTTAATAATTTTGTAGATAGAGAGCAGAGTTTTCAGGATATCCTTTTTTAATTCAGGTGAAATGAGTAATGATTTTTATCATTCGAAATGCAATAATCAATGATCTATATAAGTCGCACAAAAAGATAGAATTTAGGCCATTAATAAAATGAGGTGAACCGTGTTCCTTAGTTCATCATATAACTTTTGTTCTGTCTGACATTTTTGTTATCGCATATAGAAAAGAAACACTACCAACAAAACGTGTTTCAAATTGTTTTAGCAAAACGATTTTTTCATTCAGGCTGAGTAAAAAAGTGTTTGGGGATTATTTAACAAATACACAAAGCGTAGAGTTGATGTGGGGTGTTTCGACAGCTTTTTAGTTCTTAAATAGACCTCTAGTGGTATAAATCTCCATACAGATTCCTCATTGGAGGTCAGCATTACTGTTTACAATCAAAACCCAATCTTTACACGTACTGATTGGTTCGATTCTTTGTCGATATTCACTGAAAACCAATCAAAATTATGTAACGTTTTATTGGATGCCATGCTGTAGCGGAAAAGGATTGTAATTAGAGATTTCAAACCATCTTACTGCTTGTTTCCTTACTTTTATCGATGGATTTTCTCTTAAAATATCTACTAAGAAATATCAATGTTCAAATGCTATTTCTGTGATCAAAATATAAGTTTCCTGCATCTCATTCAAGTTTATATTTGGTTAAACTTCCGAGTTGAAATATATATACTTCATAGCCATTAGATGTTTTTAGTACAATCATTTACAAATGTACATTTAATTGGCAATACATCGGTGCGCGTGTCTTGCACCTTAATACATTTAATGTACAAAGAAGAGGCCAGCCAAGTAATAGTGCAACAAAAGGAAACGTTTTTCCTTTGGGATTCCTTTTACAAGTACTACTGGAAAATATTTCAACTCTGCTAAATTTTTCCCTCGGATATTAATTTAAATAACTGTTTGGGCTTCAGAAATTGTTCATTAATATTTCATCACTTTCTGCTAGGGTTAGCTATTGCTTAATCCTGTTTTCTTATATATATATATATATATGTATATTTATATATACAAAAAATAAAGTGCCTTGTAATTGAGATGTATATTAATATTGTACGGAAAAGCAGTGCAAAAGATCTTCAAACAAAATATTTTTGACTAAAAGCCAAAAGACTTTAATGTTTTCTTAGCCTTTACTTTTTAAAGTACGTGTTCGTTTCTAGAACATTAAGACTGTTTAATCCATCAGATGTACTTCTATTCTAAACAACTTACTATTGACATTTTATTTATTTTGTTACAGCTCTCGTTTCCCCTATTATCACAATGAGGTTTAATATAGGAGCGTAAGAAAACGATAATTTCAATTTAAAGAACGTTAAATATATTAGAGATGAGTTGGCATTTTTGTGTCTGAACAAAATCCATACAATAACTACGGAGGTATTAAAAATGGAATTCAAAAGAGTAATAATCCAGTCAACAAAGAACAGCTCCTATTCAACAAGTTCAGAAATGAAAATTCTCTTCATTATATTACGATATCTTGTTTAAAGACGAGAACAGTCTTTTGTCAAGCGTGTAATTGAAGTAAATCATTTGTTGATGTTTCAGACGTACCTTATTAAAAGTATTGAGGATATATTTGTTTGTGTTAGTACTGCCTATATCCCAATCCTCTCCATTATAGCATAGTATATAATATGGAAGAAAATAGTTGGAAGAATAATGATCAACATTTATCAAAGTATTACAATAATAAACGAATAAATTTCGCCACAAAACTGTGAAATGAAAGACTAAATAAAAAAATGTATTGTTGAATCTGAGAATTAAAAACAAATTATTTCACCTTATTGCCAAGTTCAGTACTATAAAAAAGACATGGTGATCTATAACATGATGTTGAGATAACTCAGAGTACCATAATATTTGTGCTGATTCAAGGTTCGAACATCGATATGCTGCTGAACATGTTCCGTACTTTTAGCTGTGTGGGAATTATATCTGTCACAGTAAATCTTACTAAGAGTCTAAGAGCTGCCGCATAGGCGGCAGGTGCTGCTGAAAAGTTGCCCACTTTCTTCAGGTCAGTCCAAAATTAAAACTAGATATTACAATAAAATTAGTTCTGTAGAACTGTTTGTCTCATTTCGTTTCGGTTTAAGTCTATTTATTAGAATACTCTCTTTAATCCTAAATTGTAATTCATCATTAAACTTTCCAATAATTTCATCACGTTCATTTAACGCACGTTGTTTTATAGTTGACTGCTTTATCAAACTTATATCAACTTGTTCTCTAATTTTGGATTCTATGGTTCTAAGTTGCATAACCTATATTCCTATAACTAGATATCCTAGATATAAACATAATTTTATATGCTAAGTTTCATAACCTATATTCCTATAATTATATCTAGGATATCTAAACATAAGTTTGGATTCTAAGTTGCATAATCTATATTCCTATAACTATATCTAGGATATTTAAACATAATTTTATATTCTAAGTTGCATAATCTATATTCCTATAATTATACCTTATTTCAGAAGGTAACAAATCAGACATACAAAATTCTTTAAAATGTATTAGTTAATTCCTGTTTTAAATAATGTAAAGGTCTTCAGCATCACGTTTCAAAAGAGAACAGGTTGCCACCACACAAGTAAACGGTAATACACACCCATTGTGTAGCTTTGTGCTTAATTACAAACAAACAAGCAAGTTAAGTAATATATTATGTTTTTTTTTTGACAAAGTTGTAATCATAACGGGTCCTCACTTTAATAATCCTTTACTAACCCTGAGTAAAATCGATCGGAATTGCTTCATGAATAAAAAAAACAGTCCTCATATTTCGTGCTACGGTTATTCCATATTGAAAACTTTAATTACGGATTGGTAAACATTGATCAAGCTTTGATATCCTTTTTTTAAAAAAAGCTCACTATTTTATTTATTATACGATAGATAGCCAATCTTTTAATATAGTCGCTCTGAATCTCTCCCGTTGACAATACATCACATTACTTCAAAGTGGTCAAAATACACCTTTCATACTACGTCTAATAGAGAGAAAATGTCACACTAAATACGATAGTTAGACATAGAATCAAATGTTTTATTCACATTTTAATACCTTTTTACATGATCGGTGGATTTAATTAAATCTTACATAAGTATGCTTATTACATGCACGATACTGAAGATGTCAATTATATTGTCCTTATACAGCGAAACCAAGTCTTAAACCACACAAATAACAATGTGCCACTAGGCAAAGCCATGATTTTCTTTGTTTCAGCTTAGGTACCTTTGATAATACTTATTGTTATTGTTTTTCTTTATTCAAACGTTCAAGGTTGGTTTTAACCACTTAAATACAAGTTCACGTTTCTAGTCACTATTGGCTCGGACCCATCCAATCAGATCTTCCATACATGCGCCTGGGAAGACGCCAACTTTTCAAATGTACATCAGCTGAACAGTTTTGGCTGTTTCCGTCACCTGTCTGTCCTTGTGAACACTATCTCTAACAATTCAGACGAGAAATGCATCACAAGACCGAAACACCAGAGCGCTAAAATCCAACATTCGTTTCCAATGCTGGCGCCGTTTTCTTCTAAAAAACACAAGAAACAAACAACAACCATTCAAATCAATTTATTAAGAGTCTAATACGGTTAAAAGTTGACGCGAGAAGAGTTT